ATGAAGAGGGCGAAGAGGGTGAGTTTGACTGACAGTGGACGGGCCGAGAACTATGAAGGTGATGAAGAGGGCGAAAAGGGTGAGTTTGACTGATAGTGGACTGACCGAGTACTGGGAAGGTGATGAAGAGGGCGAAGAGGGTGAGTTTGACTGACAGTCGACGGGCCGAGAACGATGAAGGTGATGAAGAGGGCGAAGAGTGTGAATTTGACTGACAGTTGACGTGCCGAGAACTATGAAAGTGATGAAGAGGGCGAAGAGGGTGAGTTTGACTGATAGTGGACTGACCGAGTACTAGGAAGGTGATGAAGAGGTCGAAGAGGGTGAGTTTGACTGACAGAGGACGGGCCGAAAACTATGAAGGTGATGAAGAGGGCGAAGAGGGTGAGTTTGACTGATAGTGGACTGACCGAGTACTATGAAGGTGATGAAGAGAGCGAAGAGTGTGAATTTGACTGACAGTGGACGTGCCGAGAACTATGAAAGTGATGAAGAGGGCGAAGAGGGTGAGTTTGATTGATAGTGGACTGACCGAGTACTAGGAAGGTGATGAAGAGGGCGAAGAGGGTGAGTTTGACTGACAGCGGACGGACCGAAAACTATGAAGGTGATGAAGAGGGCGAAGAGGGTGAGTTTGAATGATAGTGGACTGACCGAGTACTAGGAAGGTGATGAAGAGGGCGAAGAGGGTGAATTTGACTGACAGTGGACGTGCCGAGAACTATGAAGGTGATGAAGAGGGAGAAGAGGGTGAGTTTGACTGATAGTGGATTGACCGAGTACTATGAAGGTGATGAAGAGAGCGAAGAGTGTGAATTTGACTGACAGTGGACATACCGAGAACTATGAAGGTGATGAAGAGGGCGAAGAGGGTGAGTTTGACTGATAGTGGACTGATCGAGTACTGGGAAGGTGATGAAGAGGGCGAAGAGTGTGAGTTTGACTGACAGTGGACAGGCCGAGAACTATGAAGGTGATGAAGAGGGCGAAGAGGGTGAGTTTGACTGATAGTGGACTGACCGAGTACCAGAAAGGGAATGAAGAGGGCAAAGAGGGTGAGTTTGACTGACAGTCGACGGGCCGAGAACGATGAAGGTGATGAAGAGGGCGAAGAGGGTGAGTTTGACTGATAGTGGACTGACCGAGTACTATGAAGGTGATGAAGAGAGCGAAGAGTGTGAATTTGACTGACAGTGGACGTGCCGAGAACTATGAAAGTGATGAAGAGGGCGAAGAGGGTGAGTTTGATTGATAGTGGACTGACCGAGTACTAGGAAGGTGATGAAGAGGGCGAAGAGGGTGAGTTTGACTGACAGCGGACGGACCGAAAACTATGAAGGTGATGAAGAGGGCGAAGAGGGTGAGTTTGAATGATAGTGGACTGACCGAGTACTAGGAAGGTGATGAAGAGGGCGAAGAGGGTGAATTTGACTGACAGTGGACGTGCCGAGAACTATGAAGGTGATGAAGAGGGAGAAGAGGGTGAGTTTGACTGATAGTGGATTGACCGAGTACTATGAAGGTGATGAAGAGAGCGAAGAGTGTGAATTTGACTGACAGTGGACATACCGAGAACTATGAAGGTGATGAAGAGGGGGAAGAGGATGAGTTTGACTGATAGTGGACTGATCGAGTACTGGGAAGGTGATGAAGAGGGCGAAGAGTGTGAGTTTGACTGACAGTGGACAGGCCGAGAACTATGAAGGTGATGAAGAGGGCGAAGAGGGTGAGTTTGACTGATAGTGGACTGACCGAGTACCAGAAAGGGAATGAAGAGGGCAAAGAGGGTGAGTTTGACTGACAGTCGACGGGCCGAGAACGATGAAGGTGATGAAGAGGGCGAAGAGGGTGAGTTTGACTGATAATGGACTGACTGAGTACTAGGAAGGGGATGAAGAGGGCAAAGAGGGCAAATTCGACTGACAGTGAACGGGCCGAGAACTATGAAAGTGATGAAGAGGGCGAGGAGGGCGAGTTTTACTGACAGTGGACGGGCCGAGAACTATGAAGGCGATGAAGAGGGCAAAGAGGGCGAGTTTGACTGACAGTGGACGGGCCGAGAACTAAGAAGGTGATGAAGAGGGCGAAGAGGGTGAGTTTGACTGATAGTGGACTGATCAGGTACTAAGAAGGGGATGAAGAGGGTGAGGATTAAGATTTAGAGTGATAGTGGACTGACCGAGTACAAGGAAAGGGATAAAGAGGGCGAAGAGGGTGAGTTTGACTGACAGTGGACGGGCCGAGAACTATGAGGGTGATGGAGAGGGCAAAGAGGGTGAGTTTGACTGATATTGGACTGACCGAGTACTAGGAAGGGGATGAAGAGGGCAAAGAGGGTGAGTTTGACTGACAGTCGACGGGCCGAGAACGATGAAGGTGATGAAGAGGGCGAAGAGGGTGAGTTTGACTGATAGTGGACTGATCGAGTACTGGGAAGGTGATGAAGAGGGCGAAGAGTGTGAGTTTGACTGACAGTGGACCGGCCGAGAACTATGAAGGTGATGAAGAGGGCGAATAGGGTGAGTTTGACTGATAGTGGACTGACCGAGTACCAGAAAGGGGATGAAGAGGGCAAAGAGGGTGAATTTGACTGACAGTCGACGGGCCGAGAACGATGAAGGTGATGAAGAGGGCGAAGAGGGTGAGTTTGACTGATAATGGACTGACTGAGTACTAGGAAGGGGATGAAGAGGGCGAGGATTAAGATTTAGAGTGATAGTGGACTGACCGAGTACTAGGAAGGGGATGAAGAGGGCAAAGAGGGCAAATTTGACTGACAGTGAACGGGCCGAGAACTATGAAGGCGATGAAGAGGGCAAAGAGGGCGAGTTTGACTGACAGTGGACGGGCCGAGAACTAAGAAGGTGATGAAGAGGGCGAAGAGGGTGAGTTTGACTGATAGTGGACTGACCAGGTACTAGGAAGGGGATGAAGAGGGTGAGGATTAAGATTTAGAGTGATAGTGGACTGACCGAGTACAAGGAAGGGGATAAAGAGGGCGAAGAGGGTGAGTTTGACTGACAGTGGACGGGCCGAGAACTATGAGGGTGATGGAGAGGGCAAAGAGGGTGAGTTTGACTGATATTGGACTGACCGAGTACTAGGAAGGGGATGAAGAGGGCAAAGAGGGTGATTTTGACTGACAGTCGACGGGCCGAGAACGATGAAGGTGATGAAGAGAGCGAAGAGGGTGAGTTTGACTGATAATGGACTGACCGAGTACTAGGAAGGGGATGAAGAGGGCGATGGTTAAGATTTAGAATGATAGTGGACTGACCGAGTGCTAGGAAGGGGATGAAGAGGGCAAAGAGGGTGAGTTTGACTGACAGTGGACTGGCCGAGAACTATGAAGGTGATGAAGAGGGCAAAGAGGGTGAGTTTGACTGATATTGGACTGACTGAGTTCTAGGAAGGGGATGAAGAGGGCAAAGAGGGTGAATTTGACTGACAGTCGATGGGCCGAGAACGATGAAGGTGATGAAGAGAGCCAAGAGGGTGAGTTTGACTGATAATGGACTGACCGAGTACTAGGAAGGGGATGAAGAGGGCGATGATTAAGGTTTAGAGTGATAGTGGACTGACCGAGTACTAGGAAGGGGATGAAGAGGGCTAAGTGGGTGAGTTTGACTGATAGTGCACTGACCGCGTACTAGGAAGGGGATGAAGAGGGCGAAGAGGGTGAGTTTGACTGACAGTGGACTGACCGAGTACTAGGAAGGTGATGAAGAGGGCGAAGAGGGTGAGTATGACTGATAATGGACTGACCGAGTACTAGGAGGGGATGAAGAGGGCGAAGAGGATGAGTTTGACTGAAAGTTGACTGACCAGGTACTAGGAAGGGGATGAAGAGAGCAAGGATTAAGATTTAGAGTGATAGTGGACTGACCGAGTACTAGGAAGGGGATGAAGAGGGCGAAGAGGGTGAATTTGACTGACAGTCGACGGGCCGAGAACGATGAAGGTGATGAAGAGGGCGAAGAGGGTGAGTTTGACTGATAATGGACTGACTGAGTACTAGGAAGGGGATGAAGAGGGCGAGGATTAAGATTTAGAGTGATAGTGGACTGACCGAGTACTAGGAAGGGGATGAAGAGGGCAAAGAGGGCAAATTTGACTGACAGTGAACGGGCCGAGAACTATGAAAGTGATGAAGAGGGCGAAGAGGGCGAGTTTTACTGACAGTGGACGGGCCGAGAACTATGAAGGCGATGAAGAGGGCAAAGAGGGCGAGTTTGACTGACAGTGGACGGGCCGAGAACTAAGAAGGTGATGAAGAGGGCGAAGAGGGTGAGTTTGACTGATAGTGGACTGACCAGGTACTAGGAAGGGGATGAAGAGGGTGAGGATTAAGATTTAGAGTGATAGTGGACTGACCGAGTACAAGGAAGGGGATAAAGAGGGCGAAGAGGGCGAGTTTGACTGACAGTGGACGGGCCGAGAACTAAGAAGGTGATGAAGAGGGCGAAGAGGGTGAGTTTGACTGATAGTGGACTGACCAGGTACTAGGAAGGGGATGAAGAGGGTGAGGATTAAGATTTAGAGTGATAGTGGACTGACCGAGTACAAGGAAGGGGATAAAGAGGGCGAAGAGGGTGAGTTTGGCTGATAGTGGACTGACCGAGTACTAGGAAGGGGATGAAGAGAGCAAGGATTAAGATTTAGAGTGATAGTGGACTGACTGAGTACTAGGAAGGGGATGAAGAGGGCTAAGAGGGTGAGTTTGACTGATAGTGCACTGACCGCGTACTAGGAAGGGGATGAAGAGGGCGAAGAGGGTGAGTTTGACTGATAGTGGACTGACCGAGTACTAGGAAGGTGATGAAGAGGGCGAAGAGGGTGAGTATGACTGATAATGGACTGACCGAGTACTAGGAGGGGATGAAGAGGGCGAAGAGGATGAGTTTGACTGAAAGTTGACTGACCAGGTACTAGGAAGGGGATGAAGAGAGCAAGGATTAAGATTTAGAGTGATAGTGGACTGACCGAGTACTAGGAAGGGGATGAAGAGGGCGAAGAGGGTGAATTTGACTGACAGTCGACGGGCCGAGAACGATGAAGGTGATGAAGAGGGCGAAGAGGGTGAGTTTGACTGATAATGGACTGACTGAGTACTAGGAAGGGGATGAAGAGGGCGAGGATTAAGATTTAGAGTGATAGTGGACTGACCGAGTACTAGGAAGGGGATGAAGAGGGCAAAGAGGGCAAATTTGACTGACAGTGAACGGGCCGAGAACTATGAAAGTGACGAAGAGGGCGAAGAGGGCGAGTTTTACTGACAGTGGACGGGCCGAGAACTATGAAGGCGATGAAGAGGGCAAAGAGGGCGAGTTTGACTGACAGTGGACGGGCCGAGAACTAAGAAGGTGATGAAGAGGGCGAAGAGGGTGAGTTTGACTGATAGTGGACTGACCAGGTACTAGGAAGGGGATGAAGAGGGTGAGGATTAAGATTTAGAGTGATAGTGGACTGACCGAGTACAAGGAAGGGGATAAAGAGGGCGAAGAGGGTGAGTTTGACTGACAGTGGACGGGCCGAGAACTATGAGGGTGATGGAGAGGGCAAAGAGGGTGAGTTTGACTGATATTGGACTGACCGAGTACTAGGAAGGGGATGAAGAGGGCAAAGAGGGTGATTTTGACTGACAGTTGACGGGCCGAGAACGATGAAGGTGATGAAGAGAGCGAAGAGGGTGAGTTTGACTGATAATGGACTGACCGAGTACTAGGAAGGGGATGAAGAGGGCGATGATTAAGATTTAGAATGATAGTGGACTGACCGAGTGCTAGGAAGGGGATGAAGAGGGCAAAGAGGGTGAGTTTGACTGACAGTGGACGGGCCGAGAACTATGAAGGTGATGAAGAGGGCAAAGAGGGTGAGTTTGACTGATATTGGACTGACTGAGTGCTAGGAAGGGGATGAAGAGGGCAAAGAGGGTGAATTTGACTGACAGTCGATGGGCCGAGAACGATGAAGCTGATGAAGAGAGCGAAGAGGGTGAGTTTGACTGATAATGGACTGACCGAGTACTAGGAAGGGGATGAAGAGGGCGATGATTAAGGTTTAGAGTGATAGTGGACTGACCGAGTACTAGGAAGGGGATGAAGAGGGCTAAGAGGGTGAGTTTGACTGATAGTGCACTGACCGCGTACTAGGAAGGGGATGAAGAGGGCGAAGAGGGTGAGTTTGACTGATAGTGGACTGACCGAGTACTAGGAAGGTGATGAAGAGGGCGAAGAGGGTGAGTATGACTGATAATGGACTGACCGAGTACTAGGAGGGGATGAAGAGGGCGAAGAGGATGAGTTTGACTGAAAGTTGACTGACCAGGTACTAGGAAGGGGATGAAGAGAGCAAGGATTAAGATTTAGAGTGATAGTGGACTGACCGAGTACTAGGAAGTAGATGAAGAGGGCGAAGAGGGTGAGTTTGACTGATAGCGCACTGACCGCGTACTAGGAAGCGGATGAAGAGGGCGAAGTGGGTGAGTTTGACTGATAGTGGACTGACCGAGTACTAGGAAGGGGATGAAGAGGGCAAAGAGGGTGATTTTGACTGACAGTCGACGGGCCGAGAACGATGAAGGTGATGAAGAGAGCGAAGAGGGTGAGTTTGACTGATAATGGACTGACCGAGTACTAGGAAGGGGATGAAGAGGGCGATGATTAAGATTTAGAGTGATAGTGGACTGACCGAGTACTAGGAAGGGGATGAAGAGGGCGAAGAGGGTGAGTTTGACTGATAGTGCACTGACCGCGTACTAGGAAGGGGATGAAGAGGGCGAAGAGGGTGAGTTTGACTGATAGTGGACTGACCGAGTACTAGGAAGGTGATGAAGAGGGCGAAGAGGGTGAGTATGACTGATAGTGGACTGACCGAGTACTAGGAGGGGATGAAGAGGGCGAAGAGGATGAGTTTGACTGAAAGTGGACTGACCAGGTACTAGGAAGGGGATGAAGAGAGCAAGGATTAAGATTTAGAGTGATAGTGGACTGACTGAGTACTAGGAAGGGGATGAAGAGGGCGAAGAGGGTGAGTTTGACTGATAGTGCACTGACCGCGTACTAGGAAGGGGATGAAGAGGGCGAAGAGGGTGAGTTTGACTGATAGTGGACTGACCGAGTACTAGGAAGGTGATGAAGAGGGCGAAGAGGGTGAGTAGGACTGACAGTGGACTGACCCAGTACTAGGAATGTGATGAAGAGGGCGAAGAGTGTGAGTATGACTGATAGTGGACTGACCGAGTACTAGGAGGGGACGAAGAGGGCGAAGAGGTTGAGTTTGACTGATAGTGGTCTGACCGAGTACTAGGAAGGAGATGAAGAGGGCGAAGAGGGTGAGTTTGGCTGATAGTGGACTGACCGAGTACTAGGAAGGGGATGAAGAGAGCAAGGATTAAGATTTAGAGTGATAGTGGACTGACTGAGTACTAGGAAGGGGATGAAGAGGGCGAAGAGGGTGAGTTTGACTGATAGTGCACTGACCGCGTACTAGGAAGGGGATGAAGAGGGCTAAGAGGGTGAGTTTGACTGATAGTGGACTGACCGAGTACTAGGAAGGTGATGAAGAGGGCGAAGAGGGTGAGTAGGACTGATAGTGGACTGACCGAGTACTAGGAAGGTGATGAAGAGGGCGAAGAGGGTGAGTATGACTGATAATGGACTGACCGAGTACTAGGAGGGGATGAAGAGGGCGAAGAGGATGAGTTTGACTGAAAGTGGACTGACCAGGTACTAGGAAGGGGATGAAGAGAGCAAGGATTAAGATTTAGAGTGATAGTGGACTGACTGAGTACTAGGAAGGGGATGAAGAGTGCGAAGAGGGTGAGTTTGACTGATAGTGCACTGACCGCGTACTAGGAAGGGGATGAAGAGGGCGAAGAGGGTGAGTTTGACTGATAGTGGACTGACCGAGTACTAGGAAGGTGATGAAGAGGGCGAAGAGGGTGAGTAGGACTGATAGTGGACTGACCGAGTACTAGGAATGTGATGAAGAGGGCGAAGAGGGTGAGTATGACTGATAGTGGACTGACCGAGTACTAGGAGGGGACGAAGAGGGCGAAGAGGTTGAGTTTGACTGATAGTGGTCTGACCGAGTACTAGGAGGGGATGAAGAGGGCGAAGAGGATGAGTTTGACTGAAAGTGGACTGACCAGGTACTAGGAAGGGGATGAAGAGAGCAAGGATTAAGATTTAGAGTGATAGTGGACTGACTGAGTACTAGGAAGGGGATGAAGAGGGCGAAGAGGGTGAGTTTGACTGATAGTGCACTGACCGCGTACTAGGAAGGGGATGAAGAGGGCGAAGAGGGTGAGTTTGACTGATAGTGGACTGACCGAGTACTAGGAAGGTGATGAAGAGGGCGAAGAGGGTGAGTAGGACTGATAGTGGACTGACCGAGTACTAGGAATGTGATGAAGAGGGCGAAGAGGGTGAGTATGACTGATAGTGGACTGACCGAGTACTAGGAGGGGACGAAGAGGGTGAAGAGGTTGAGTTTGACTGATAGTGGTCTGACCGAGTACTAGGAAGGAGATGAAGAGGGCGAAGAGGGTGAGTTTGGCTGATAGTGGACTGACCGAGTACTAGGAAGGTGATGAAGAGGGCGAAGAGGGTGAGTAGGACTGATAGTGGACTGACCGAGTACTAGGAAGGTGATGAAGAGGGCGAAGAGGGTGAGTATGACTGATAATGGACTGACCGAGTACTAGGAGGGGATGAAGAGGGCGAAGAGGATGAGTTTGACTGAAAGTGGACTGACCAGGTACTAGGAAGGGGATGAAGAGAGCAAGGATTAAGATTTAGAGTGATAGTGGACTGACTGAGTACTAGGAAGGGGATGAAGAGTGCGAAGAGGGTGAGTTTGACTGATAGTGCACTGACCGCGTACTAGGAAGGGGATGAAGAGGGCGAAGAGGGTGAGTTTGACTGATAGTGGACTGACCGAGTACTAGGAAGGTGATGAAGAGGGCGAAGAGGGTGAGTAGGACTGATAGTGGACTGACCGAGTACTAGGAATGTGATGAAGAGGGCGAAGAGGGTGAGTATGACTGATAGTGGACTGACCGAGTACTAGGAGGGGACGAAGAGGGCGAAGAGGTTGAGTTTGACTGATAGTGGTCTGACCGAGTACTAGGAGGGGATGAAGAGGGCGAAGAGGATGAGTTTGACTGAAAGTGGACTGACCAGGTACTAGGAAGGGGATGAAGAGAGCAAGGATTAAGATTTAGAGTGATAGTGGACTGACTGAGTACTAGGAAGGGGATGAAGAGGGCGAAGAGGGTGAGTTTGACTGATAGTGCACTGACCGCGTACTAGGAAGGGGATGAAGAGGGCGAAGAGGGTGAGTTTGACTGATAGTGGACTGACCGAGTACTAGGAAGGTGATGAAGAGGGCGAAGAGGGTGAGTAGGACTGATAGTGGACTGACCGAGTACTAGGAATGTGATGAAGAGGGCGAAGAGGGTGAGTATGACTGATAGTGGACTGACCGAGTACTAGGAGGGGACGAAGAGGGTGAAGAGGTTGAGTTTGACTGATAGTGGTCTGACCGAGTACTAGGAAGGAGATGAAGAGGGCGAAGAGGGTGAGTTTGGCTGATAGTGGACTGACCGAGTACTAGGAAGGCGATGAAGGGGGCAAAGAGGGTGAATTTGACTGATAGTGGACGGGCCCAGTTCTATGGCGGCAGTTGAAGAGGGCGAGGAGAGTGAGTTTTACAGTTAGTGGACTGACCGCGTACTAAGAAGGGGATGAAGAGGGCGAGGATTAAGATTAAGAGTGATAGTGGACTGACCGAGTACTAGGAAGGGGATGAAGAGGGCGAAGAGGGTGAGTTTGACTTACAGTTGACGGGCCGAGAACTAAGAAGGTGATGAAGAGGGCGAAGAGGATGAGTTTGACTGATAGTGGACTGACCAGGTACTAGGAAGGGGATGAAGAGGGCTAGGATTAAGATTTAGAGTGATAGTGGACTGACCGAGTACTAGGAAGGGGATGAAGAGGGTGAGTTTGACTGATAGTGGACTGACCGCGAACTAGGAAGGGTATGAAGAGGGCGAGGAGGGTGAGTTTGACTGATAGTGGACTGACCCAGTACTAGGAAGGTGATGAAGAGGGTGAAGAGGGTGAGTATAACTGATAGTGGACTGACCGAGTACTAGGAGGGGATGAAGAGGGCGAAGAGGTTGAGTTTGACTTACAGTGGATGGGCCCAGAACTATTAAGGTGACGAAGAGGGCGAAGAGGTTGAGTTTGACTGATAGTGATCTGACCGAGTACTAGGAAGGGGATGAAGAGGGCGAAGCTGGTGAGTTTGACTGATAGTGGACTGACCGAGTACTAGGAAGGTGATGAAGAGGGCGAAGAGGGTGAGTATGAATGATAATGGACTGACCGAGTACTAGGAGGGGATGAAGAGGGCGAAGAGGTTGAGTTTGGCTGACAGTGGATGGGCCCAGAACTATTAAGGTGACGAAGAGGGCAAAGAGGTTGAGTTTGACTGAAAGTGGTCTAACCGAGTACTAGGAAGGGGATGAAGAGGGCGTAGAGGGTGAGTTTGGCTGATAGTGGACTGACCGAGTACTAGGAAGGTGATGAAGAGGTCAAAGAGGGTGAAATTGACTGATAGTGGACGGGCCAAGTTCTATGGCGGCAGTTGAAGAGGGCGAGGAGAGTGAGTTGGACAGTTAGTGGACTGACCGCGTACTAAGAAGGGGATGAAGAGGGCGAGTATAAATATTAAGTGTGATGGTGGGCTGACCGAGTACTAGGAAGGGGATGAAGAGGGCAAAGAGGATGAGTTTGACTGACAGTGGATGGGCCCAGAATTTTTAAGGTGACGAAGAGGGCCAAGAGGTTGAGTTTGACTGATAGTGGTCTGACCGAGTACTAGCAAGGGGATGAAGATGGCGAAGAGGGTGAGTTTGGCTGATAGTGGACTGACCGAGTACTAGGAAGGTGATGAAGAGAGCAAAGAGGGTGAATTTGACTGATAGTGGACGGGCCGAGTTATATGGCGGCAGTTGAAGAGGGCGAGGAGAGTCAGTTTGACAGTTAGTGGACTGACCGCGTACTAAGAAGGCGATGAAGAGGGCGAGGATTAAGATTAAGAGTGATAGTGGACTGACCGAGTACTAGGAAGGGGATGAAGAGGGCGAAGAGGGTGAGTTTGACTGACAGAGGACTGACCGCGTACTAGGAGGGGGATGAAGAGGGCGAAGAGGGTGAGTTTGACTGATAGTGGACTGACCGAGTACTAGGAAGGGGATAAAGAGGGCGAAGAGGATGAGTTTGACTGACGGTTGACGGGCCGCGAACTAGGAAGGTGATGAAGAGGGCGAAGAGGGTCAGTTTGACTGACAGTGGACGGGCCGCGAACTAGGAAGGTGATGAAGAGGGCGAAGAGGGTGAGTTTGGCTGATAGTGGACTGACCGAGTACTAGGAAGGTGATGAAGAGAGCAAAGAGGGTGAATTTGACTGATAGTGGACGGGCCGAGTTATATGGCGGCAGTTGAAGAGGGCGAGGAGAGTCAGTTTGACAGTTAGTGGACTGACCGCGTACTAAGAAGGCGATGAAGAGGGCGAGGATTAAGATTAAGAGTGATAGTGGACTGACCGAGTACTAGGAAGGGGATGAAGAGGGCGAAGAGGGTGAGTTTGACTGACAGAGGACTGACCGCGTACTAGGAGGGGGATGAAGAGGGCGAAGAGGGTGAGTTTGACTGATAGTGGACTGACCGAGTACTAGGAAGGGGATAAAGAGGGCGAAGAGGATGAGTTTGACTGACGGTGGACGGGCCGCGAACTAGGAAGGTGATGAAGAGGGCGAAGAGGGTCAGTTTGACTGACAGTGGACGGGCCGCGAACTAGGAAGGTGATGAAGAGGTCAAAGAGGGTGAAATTGACTGATAGTGGACGGGCCAAGTTCTATGGCGGCAGTTGAAGAGGGCGAGGAGAGTGAGTTGGACAGTTAGTGGACTGACCGCGTACTAAGAAGGGGATGAAGAGGGCGAGGATAAATATTAAGTGTGATAGTGGGCTGACCGAGTACTAGGAAGGGGATGAAGAGGGCAAAGAGGATGAGTTTGACTGACAGTGGATGGGCCCAGAATTATTAAGGTGACGAAGAGGGCCAAGAGGTTGAGTTTGACTGATAGTGGTCTGACCGAGCACTAGCAAGGGGATGAAGAGGGCGAAGAGGGTGAGTTTGGCTGATAGTGGACTGACCGAGTACTAGGAAGGTGATGAAGAGAGCAAAGAGGGTGAATTTGACTGATAGTGGACGGGCCGAGTTATATGGCGGCAGTTGAAGAGGGCGAGGAGAGTCAGTTTGACAGTTAGTGGACTGACCGCGTACTAAGAAGGCGATGAAGAGGGCGAGGATTAAGATTAAGAGTGATAGTGGACTGACCGAGTACTAGGAAGGGGATGAAGAGGGCGAAGAGGGTGAGTTTGACACTGACAGAGGACTGACCGCGTACTAGGAGGGGGATGAAGAGGGCGAAGAGGGTGAGTTTGACTGATAGTGGACTGACCGAGTACTAGGAAGGGGATAAAGAGGGCGAAGAGGATGAGTTTGACTGACGGTGGACGGGCCGCGAACTAGGAAGGTGATGAAGAGGGCGAAGAGGGTCAGTTTGACTGACAGTGGACGGGCCGCGAACTAGGAAGGTGATGAAGAGGGCGAAGAGGGTCAGTTTGACTGACAGTGGACTGACCGAGTACTAGGAAGGGGATGAAGAGGGCGAAGAGGATGAGTTTGACTGACGGTGGACGGGCCGAGAACTATGAAGGTGATGAAGAGGGCAAAGAGGGTGAGTTTGACTGATAGTGGACTGACCGCGTACTAGGAAGGGGATGAAGAGGGCGAAGTGGGTGAGTTTGACTGATAGTGGACTGACCGAGTACTATGCAGGGGATGAAGAGGGCGAAGAGGGTGAGTTTGACTGATAGTGGACTGACCGAGTACTAGGAAGGTGATGAAGAGGGCGAGGATTAAGATATAGAGTGATAGTGGACTGACCGATTACTAGGAACGGGATGAAGAGGGCGAAGAGGGTGAATTCGACTGATAGTGGACTGACCGCGTACTAGGAAGGGGATGAAGAGGGCGAAGAGGGTGAGTTTGACTGATAGTGGACTGACCGAAAACTATGAAGGGGATGAAGAGGGCGAGGAGGGTGAATTTGACTGATAGTGCACTGACCGCGTACTAGGAAGAAGATGAAGAGGGCGAAGAGGGTGAGTTTGACTGATAGTGGACTGACCGATTACTAGGAAGGTGATGAAGAGGGCGAAGAGGTAGAGTATGACTGATAGTGGACTGACCGAGTACTAGGAGGGGATGAAGAGGGCGAAGAGGATGAGTTTGACTGACAGTGGATGGGCCCAGAACTATGAAGGTGATGAAGAGGGCAAAGAGGGTGAGTTTGACTGACGGTGGACGGGCCGCGAACTAGGAAGGTGATGAAGAGGGCGAAGAGGGTCAGTTTGACTGACAGTGGACGGGCCGCGAACTAAGAAGGCGATGAAGAGGGCGAGGATTAAGATTAAGAGTGATAGTGGACTGACCGAGTACTAGGAAGGGGATGAAGAGGGCGAAGAGGGTGAGTTTGACACTGACAGAGGACTGACCGCGTACTAGGAGGGGGATGAAGAGGGCGAAGAGGGTGAGTTTGACTGATAGTGGACTGACCGAGTACTAGGAAGGGGATATAGAGGGCGAAGAGGATGAGTTTGACTGACGGTGGACGGGCCGCGAACTAGGAAGGTGATGAAGAGGGCGAAGAGGGTCAGTTTGACTGACAGTGGACGGGCCGCGAACTAGGAAGGTGATGAAGAGGGCGAAGAGGGTCAGTTTGACTGATAGTGGACTGACCGAGTACTAGGAAGGGGATGAAGAGGGCGAAGAGGATGAGTTTGACTGACGGTGGACGGGCCGAGAACTATGAAGGTGATGAAGAGGGCAAAGAGGGTGAGTTTGACTGATAGTGGACTGACCGCGTACTAGGAAGGGGATGAAGAGGGCGAAGTGGGTGAGTTTGACTGATAGTGGACTGACCGAGTACTATGCAGGGGATGAAGAGGGCGAAGAGGGTGAGTTTGACTGATAGTGGACTGACCGAGTACTAGGAAGGTGATGAAGAGGGCGAGGATTAAGATATAGAGTGATAGTGGACTGACCGATTACTAGGAACGGGATGAAGAGGGCGAAGAGGGTGAATTCGACTGATAGTGGACTGACCGCGTACTAGGAAGGGGATGAAGAGGGCGAAGAGGGTGAGTTTGACTGATAGTGGACTGACCGAAAACTATGAAGGGGATGAAGAGGGCGAGGAGGGTGAATTTGACTGATAGTGCACTGACCGCGTACTAGGAAGAAGATGAAGAGGGCGAAGAGGGTGAGTTTGACTGATAGTGGACTGACCGAGTACTAGGAAGGTGATGAAGAGGGCGAAGAGGTAGAGTATGACTGATAGTGGACTGACCGAGTACTAGGAGGGGATGAAGAGGGCGAAGAGGATGAGTTTGACTGACAGTGGATGGGCCCAGAACTATGAAGGTGATGAAGAGGGCAAAGAGGGTGAGTTTGACTGATAGTGGACTGACCGCGTACTAGGAAGGGGATGAAGAGGGCGAAGTGGGTGAGTTTGACTGATAGTGGACTGACCGAGTACTATGCAGGGGATGAAGAGGGCGAGGAGGGTGAATTTGACTGATAGTGGACTGACCGCGTACTAGGAACGGGATGAAGAGGGCGAAGAGGGTGAATTCGACTGATAGTGGACTGACCGCGTACTAGGAAGGGGATGAAGAGGGCGAAGAGGGTGAGTTTGACTGATAGTGGACTGACCGAAAACTATGAAGGGGATGAAGAGGGCGAGGAGGGTGAATTTGACTGATAGTGCACTGACCGCGTACTAGGAAGAAGATGAAGAGGGCGAAGAGGGTGAGTTTGACTGATAGTGGACTGACCGAGTACTAGGAAGGTGATGAAGAGGGCGAAGAGGTAGAGTATGACTGATAGTGGACTGACCGAGTACTAGGAGGGGATGAAGAGGGCGAAGAGGATGAGTTTGACTGACAGTGGATGGGCCCAGAACTATGAAGGTGATGAAGAGGGCAAAGAGGGTGAGTTTGACTGATAGTGGACTGACCGCGTACTAGGAAGGGGATGAAGAGGGCGAAGTGGGTGAGTTTGACTGATAGTGGACTGACCGAGTACTATGCAGGGGATGAAGAGGGCGAGGAGGGTGAATTTGACTGATAGTGGACTGACCGCGTACTAGGAAGGAGATGAAGAGGGCGAGGATTAAGATATAGAGTGATAGTGGACTGACCGATTACTAGGAAGGGGATGAAGAGGGCGAAGAGGGTGAATTTGACTGATAGTGGACTGACCGCGTACTAGGAAGGGGATGAAGAGGGCGAAGCGGGTGAGTTTGACTGATAGTGGAGTGACCGAGTATTATGAAGGGGATGAAGAGGGCGAGGAGGGTGAATTTGACTGATAGTGCACTGACCGCGTACTAGGAAGGAGATGGAGAGGGCGAAGAGGGTGAGTTTGACTGAAAGTGGACTGACCGAGTACTAGGAAGGTGATGAAGAGGGCGAAGAGGGTGAGTATGACTGATAGTGGACTGACCGAGTACTAGGAGGGGATGAAGAGGGCGAAGAGGATGAGTTTGACTGACAATGGATGGGCCCAGAACTATTAAGGTGACGAAGAGGTTGAGGTTGACTGATAGTGGTCTGACCGAGTACTAGGAAGGGGATGAAGAGGGCGAAGAGGGTGAGTTTGGCTGATAGTGGACTGACCGAGTTCTTGGAAGGTGATGAAGAGGGCAAAGAGGTTGAATTTGACTGATAGTGGACGGGCCGAGTTCTATGACGGCAGTTGAAGAGGGTGAGAAGAGTGAGTTTGACAGTTAGTCGACTGACCGCTTACTAAGAAGGGGATGAAGAGGGCGAAGAGGGTGATTTTGACTGACAGTGGACTAACCGCGTACTAGGAGGTGGATGAAGAGGGCGAAGAGGGTGAGTTTGACTGATAGTGGACTGACCGAGTACTAGGAAGGGGATAAAGAGGGCGAAGAGGGTGAGTTTGGTTGATAGTGGACTGACCGAGTACTAGGAAGGGGATGAAGAGAGCGAAGAGGATGAGTTTGACTGACGGTGGACTAACCGCGTACTAGGAGGTGGATGAAGAGGGCGAAGAGGGTGAGTTTGACTGATAGTGGACTGACCGAGTACTAGGAAGGGGATAAAGAGGGCGAAGAGGGTGAGTTTGGTTGATAGTGGACTGACCGAGTACTAGGAAGGGGATGAAGAGAGCGAAGAGGATGAGTTTGACTGACGGTGGACGGGCCGAGAACCATGAAGGTGATGAAGAGGGCAAAGAGGGTGAGTTTGACTGATAGTGGACTGACCGAGTACTAGGAAGGGTATGAAGAGGGCGAGGATTAAGATTAAGAGTGATAGTGGACTGACCGAGTACTAGGAAGGGGATGAAGAGGGCGAAGAGGGTGATTTTGACTGACAGTGGACTAACCGCGTACTATGAGGTGGATGAAGAGGGCGAAGAGGGTGAGTTTGACTGATAGTGGACTGACCGAGTACTAGGAAGGGGATAAAGAGGGCGAAGAGGGTGAGTTTGGTTGATAGTGGACTGACCGAGTACTAGGAAGGGGATGAAGAGAGCGAAGAGGATGAGTTTGACTGACGGTGGACTAACCGCGTACTAGGAGGTGGATGAAGAGGGCGAAGAGGGTGAGTTTGACTGATAGTGGACTGACCGAGTACTAGGAAGGGGATAAAGAGGGCGAAGAGGGTGAGTTTGGTTGATAGTGGACTGACCGAGTACTAGGAAGGGGATGAAGAGAGCGAAGAGGATGAGTTTGACTGACGGTGGACGGGCCGAGAACCATGAAGGTGATGAAGAGGGCAAAGAGGGTGAGTTTGACTGATAGTGGACTGACCGAGTACTAGGAAGGGTATGAAGAGGGCGAGGATTAAGATTAAGAGTGATAGTGGACTGACCGAGTACTAGGAAGGGGATGAAGAGGGCGAAGAGGGTGATTTTGACTGACAGTGGACTAACCGCGTACTATGAGGTGGATGAAGAGGGCGAAGAGGGTGAGTTTGACTGATAGTGGACTGACCGAGTACTAGGAAGGGGATAAAGAGGGCGAAGAGGGTGAGTTTGGTTGATAGTGGACTGACCGAGTACTAGGAAGGGGATGAAGAGAGCGAAGAGGATGAGTTTGACTGACGGTGGACGGGCCGAGAACCATGAAGGTGTCGACGAGGGCAAAGAGGGTGAGTTTGACTGATAGTGGACT